CGCAGACCTGCTGCATGGGGGGCGGCTCCTAGCCGCGGGCAGCAGCGGAAAAGGGCCTGCCGAGGGGGGAGGACCCCGCGGCCTGCGCGCCCCAGATAAAGTGGGCTCCCCGTCCTATCAGCTGGAGCAGTCCCAGGCGGACACAGACGTCAAGGGAAAGGATGGACTGTCGCCTTACCGCCCGCCCCTCTGGTTGCACAGGGATGGTGTGCGCACCCCAGGGCGTCCTCCCTGGCCCAGGGCACTGCTACCCGCAGCCCGGCCCAGGCCACAGCAGCTGTTTTCGCTGTGGGTTCTTCTTCCCTCTTGTTTGCCAAAGCCCCCAGTAAACCAAAGTCCACATCCGGTTTACCCAGTCAGCTCCCCCGGCCGCAACTGTCCTGCCCAGACCAGAAGGGTGGCAGGAGAGGCTCCTGTGTCCCATCAGCCGTCCCCCAGGGCCTGGGCCAGGTTCCAACTGTTTATGCCCTGAACCCGGCGGCCTCCCAGCCGGCCCAGGCAGTAACACTCAGGCAGGCAGCGGGAGTTGAGATTTTAGTAGCGTACAACAGTGGTGTGCCACTCACCGCCCGCCCTCCAGCCCGAGGTCTTCATGTTGCCTGGAAGTTGCCAGGAGCCAGGGCTTCCCCTGCCCTGAGAAGCCCCAGCCCCAGCCCGTCCCCAGCCCCAGGGCAACAGAGGAAATGAGGCTGCACAGGTGCCCGGGTGCGGGACACCTCGCTGTGGGGTGGGCAACATCAGGTAGGGCAAGTGGCATGTTTCTTGTCCCTGCACCTTGGGCTCCCCTGTCCCAGGACAGACAAGTGGGCCAGAGGACACCTGTGCCTGTGTCCCAGTTTTGGGCATGGAGCCCTGCGAGGTCCAGTGGGGTCAGAGATCCATTCTGTGGGGACACTGGAGCCCTGGCAGTGGTAAGTGAGACAGCAGGGAGCCTGGCTCTGCTAGAAGAACTTCACGCCTCGGCCGTCGCTCAGGGTGATGATCTCCGCCTTGTGCTCCTGCTGCAGGGCCTGCAGAGCCCGCAGCAGGGTCGCCTCATCGAGCCCGTGGAACTCTGGGCAGGTAGAGACGGCAGTTAGGTGTACTCAGTGCCCCGAGGACTGCAGAGAGCCATGCCTGCCACTGAGGCCTCCCAAGTGGGGAGGTCACGGGCACCACTGTAGCTACCACCCACTCCTGGTACTACTCCTAGTAGGGGTGGCAGGAGGCCGAGTCAGGCTTATTTCCCACTCCCTAGTGCACCTGGAAACCCCGCCCCCATAACTCTCCCCCTACACACTATTTGATGCCCTGGAGATATCACTGGTCACAAAAAGGGGCCCACAGGGCAAGGGCTGAGCAGACCCTGGCTGTGCACTGATGTGCAGCAGAAGGCCCCATCTGATGCTGAGTCTAGCCAGTACCCCAGTGGGCGCTGTTCACATCCAGCACCAATCACCACCCCTCAGAGCTAGACAGGACCGGGCTAGGCACCCTGGGCCAGCCTGGGATCTGGAGATGCGGCAGATAATGCAGGGAGACAAGTGAGGCGGCAGGCAAGCCCTGGCAGGCTGGCTCACCTCACCCCCCTCAGGCTCAGTGCATGCCAGGAGCTGGCATTCTGAGGAAGCCTGGACGGCAGGCTGGGCCAGGCGGCCGTGCTGAAGTCATGGGGTGACGGTGGGAGCGGCAAGCAGAGGCCTGCAGGGCAGGGGGAGCAGCCAAAAGCCAGAAACTGTGCTGGGGCAGCCAGGGCTGGCAGGGAGGGAGGCAGCACCCCCGGGCCCCCCGGAGAGGCTGAAACTTGGGCTGACTGGGGGTTAGGACCGGAGGGAAAGCCACGAAGGTGTCTGCACTACGTCAAAACCGAAGCGCATACAATCCTTGCCTGGCCCAAAACCAAAGCATTTAAATGGGCTGCGGGTGTTGGCCAATCCCTTCAGCTGACTCCCACGCATCCTGAGCCCTCCATGCTTAACCCCCGCTGGCTTCTCAGCTGGCATCGAGAGCAGCAAACAGCAACTTCTCATGGGTCACACAGAACTGAGTGGGTAACGTGGACTCTCTCCCTAGGAAACTGCACGCACAGCCCTGCAAACAAAACTAGGGCGTTTCCTGAATCCAGGCGGTCTGTGGGATCTCGGTCTGGGTAACAACCTTTCTATTTGGGACGCGGGGGCGGAGAAACGGAGGGTACCCAGTGAACCCAGATGGGGAGAGCTTTCTGAAGGCCACACAGGCAGGGTGCAGCATTACCTTCACCCTCTGTGTCCTCCCCGCTGGTCAGCTCATACAGGGTGAACACGGAGTTGTTCTGGCCGCTTCGGGAAACCTGTGGACACCACAAATGCGGGTTAAGGCCCAAGAGTCTCCCGGGAGAAGGAAAACTCGGCAGCTCCGCCTCCATCCAGGACTGGTCTCTGTTCCCAAGCCAGGGCCGTCACCTCTGCAGTGGCCCCGAACCACAAGCTCTACAGGTGCTATATTTGTGTGTGTACACACACACACACTGCAACCACTAGACCACAGGCCTTCACGTGTCTGCAGTGACCTCTCGCTCTTGGCCCCTGCTCGGGACGGGCAGTGTGCCTGTTATATTTAGGTTGCTGATGCATCCTTCTCTCCCCTTCCCATGGGAATGTGTGGGGCTGCTGGTGGCCAGCGGTTTGGGGAGAGCGTTCCGTCCCCACACCCACACTGCTTCAGAATGTCTCAAGGGATGCAGACAACCCCACAGAGGTGCACGTTGGAGGAGGGTCCTGGACTCTTTGCCCTTCCTTTCCCCATTTAGCTCCTGTGGCTGGAGGCTCTGGCCAACAGCAGCACTCGCAGTTCCCAGTGCCGCATTCTCCAAACCAGGCCTCACACTGCCTCTGCCTCCGGCTGGAAAGGGAGGGTCTGTGTGGTTAGAGAAACCAAGTCACTGAAGGGCCACAGCGCGGAAGGCCTACGCTTGCTCTCTGCTGCCCCCTTCGGCCAAATGTGCGTCTGGGAACACAGGTATCAGCTGGGCACAGAGAAAGCTCCCCTTTGCCACGGGTCACTGCTCAACTTGGCCGCGGGATGGTCTCACCCACTGATAAATGAGTTTCCCCCATTCTTCTGGCCTCCGCCACATGATCAGGAAACTAGACTTGTTCTTATCCAACCACTCGAGGTTCCCTGTAAAACAGAGACTTAGGAAATCATGCTCTAAAAAAGGAACAAAGAGGCAAATACCAAGGTGGGTCAGGGTGGGAGACTCTGCTTGGAGTAAGAGACTCTAAATTTATGGTACTAATTATTACTGTGGACAGGACACCGGTCTCCTTATTCCACCTCTCGGGCTTAGGGCATAGGTAGAACTATTTCAATTTAAACTGGGGGGAGAACCAGGAACCAAGCCGCCTATTGTACAGAACACTGGGCTTCTGGCCAGTGAGGGGAAAACGCCATTAAGAAGACCTGCACGAAGAGATATAAGGAATCGAGGAACCGAACCCACCTTTCTTCCTTAGTTCCTCTAATACAATCTGGATTGATTCCACAGGGAGCTTCCCTGGTTAAAAGTTAAGAAATGGCATACTTGGGAATTATGGTAGATAAAAGTTCTTAGTAGGGCCGGGGAGATAGCTCAGTAGGATAAGTGTTTGACTGGCAAACGCAACGATCTGAGTTCAATC